AGATCAAAACTACAATGAGATATCATCTCACCCCAACAAGGCTAGCATTAATCCAAAAAACACAAAATAATAAATGCTGGAGAGGTTGTGGAGAGACTAGAACACTTATACACTGTTAGTGGGAATCTAAAATGGTACAACCACTTTGGAAATCAATTTGACACTTCCTTAAAAAGCTAGAAATAGAAGTACCATATGATCCAGCTATCCTGCTCCTTGGAGAAATAAGAAATAAGAGCTGTCACACAAATAGATATATACACACCCATGTTCATTGCAGCACTGTTCACAATAGCAAAAAGATGGAAACAATCTAGGTGTCCATCAACAGACTAATGGATAAATAAATTATAGTATATCCACACAATGGAATACTACGCAATGATAAAGAACAATGATGAAGCCATAAAACATCTTATAACATGGAGGAATCTGGAGGGCATTATACTGAGTGAATTTAGTCAGTCACAGAAGGAGAAATATTGTATAAGAGCACTAGTAGAAGAACTAAAGAAAAGGTTAAACACAGAAGAAAACATTCTTTGATGGTTATGGGGGTGGGGAGGGAGGGTGAGGGTTATTTACTAACTAGATAGTAGACAAGAATTATCTTAGGTGAAGGGAAGGGCAGCACACACTACAGGGGAAGTCAGCACAACTAGACTAAACCAAAGCTAAGAAGTTTCCTGAATACAATTATACATTTTGAGGGACAGAGTAGCAGGTGTAGAGGTCTGGGCACCATGCTTTCAGGGGACATCTAGGTCAATTGCCATAACAAAGCTTATTAAGAAAATGTTCTGCATCCTACTTTGGTGAGTGGCATCTGAGGTCTTAAAAGTTTGCAAGCGGCCATCTAAGATGCATGAATTTGTCCCAACCACCTGGAGTAAATGAAAATGAAGAACACCAAAGATACAAGGAAAGTATTAGCCCAAGAGACAGAAGGGGCCACATAAACCAGAGACTTCACCAGTCTGAGAGTAGAAGAACTAGATGGTGTCCAGCTACCACCAAAGACCGCCCTGATAGGGAACACAACAGACAGCCCCAGATGGAGCAGGAGAAAGGTGGGTGTAGAACTCAAATTCTAGTAAGAAGACCAGACTTAATGGTCTGACTGAGACTGGAGGAACCCCCGAAAGCATGGCCCCTGGATTCTCTATCAGCCTAGAACT